CCTTGCTCCCTCACTCAAAAAAAAAAAAAAAAAGATTCTCAGAAAAAAAGAAATTAGTTACAGAGGAATTAAGCCAACTCTAATTTGTAGGAAAAGATCTATCAATCCACCTCTGACTAGGTCAACTTTTACTTTGAGACTTTTGGGGGGACAAGCTCACAGTGTCACCAGCCTCCCCTCCCCCCAAAAAGAAACAAATTAACAAGAGAAATTTCTTGATAAAAGGAGCAAGTAAGGATCCTGCTACACATGGATAGATGCTACCAAAGGGAAAATATAATTTAAAATGGGAGAATGGTATCTGATGAAATGTCCCACGGCATCAGCCTTTTGGTGGGGGATGGGGGATGCCTTCTGGCACCCAGCATGGATGGGCTCAGCTGCCTTTGAGACCGATGGAGAAGCCACAAGGCATGCTGGCTGCTGTGCATGCATCCGTGCAAAGCAGAAGTCCTCTTGCCCTCATCACGCTTTTGCTGTGAGGCCCTAATGGCTGGTGTGCTTCAATGGCTGCAGCTGTGGGATGTCTCTGGTACTCCAGGCACTGTGTTGTAGCACTCTACCCCCTTCCTGCAGATGAAGTAGGTCACCTCTTCCTCTTCCAACAGCTAAACCAACGTGCCTGCGCTGCCAGCTCAGGCTACGTCACACCTGATGAGCCACCTTCCTGGGCAGTCTCAGCAATCCCTGGCCACTCAGGGCAGCAGGACAGCGGTGTCGTCCATGGAGGCCACCCCAGAGAAATTCGGGAGGTTCTCAGGTTTGTACTCGTTCCTACTGAGATAACAGGCCAGGAAAGGCTTTCTTACCAGTATTGGACGTGAACTCACCAAGAGGGTTAGATCTGCTCTGGAGATGGACAACTCAAGACAGGGGGTGAAGGCATTTGCCTAAAGCACTTGGGAATTCTTGGCCTAAGCTGAGTGTTGACTTGCAGCCAATGCTGTATCCGCCAAACCATTACTTACTCAACCACTTGGGCTGTGGGGATGCTAACACAATATTCTTCCCTACAGGATGTTTCCTAGTGCTTATCTTGCTCTAAGTGTCTCTGAGTAGTTCTGAACATGCTAAAATGTCATAACTGAAAAAAAAAAGATTATGAAGTCCAACTTACGTACCTTGATAATAGCCCAGCTCACTAATCTAATGATGGCACTTCCACTGACTCGGGGTGGGCCTGGACTTCATCTCTCCTTTGCACAGCTAAGAAACTGGAACAAACACTAGGCACTTGGTGACAGTTGTGTGTTGGTCACGATTATTTGTAACGCACTGCAGTTGGAGTCACACTGTGCAAAACAAGACGTCTGGAGCCGTGTCAGATCCCTGCATGTGAGGTCCACCCCAAAGCCTGGAAGAGCTGCTGCTAAATTCAGTGAGGTTTAGCTCAGTCAGGTCTTCTGACTCCTGGAAGGACATTCATTTAGACATGAGAGGTAGCTCGATAGGATTTGTACAGTTGACTTATGACCCCTTCAGCAATATTGAAACCCCATGAGACGTTACGACACAAAATTGTAGGACAATTAGTTGTGTCATTGTCCAGGACCCCAGACTTGGGTGTGGATGATATTTACTGATTCACAAGGGCATACACCTTCTTCCCAGAAGCAGAGCTGCCTGTCCCTGTGCAATTAGCTACAGACATGTGGAAAGGCAGTCTCTGATCTTTCTTAAATACAGGTTACCCCTATTCCTCACGTGGCTACACGTGCTCCTTAAGTGCCTGCTCCTACACTCACATGCCTAACAGGTGAGTTTGTATCTTCTATTTTGTGAAACAACAGCGCAAAGCAGAAAACAAAGGAAAAAACAAATTTCATTTCCATCCTTATGCACTTTGATTACATATTGATAAACAAAGAGAAAAGAAACAGCCACCAAGAGATACTATTTCTATTCAAAGTTACAATGAATGGAAAGTTCTCCAGGGCCAGCATGTCCCTGCGTAGGCAAAAACACAGTAATGGCATTTTAGGTCTTTTAAACAGTCACCCGGTATTTCAGTTTCCTGCTCTCACTATATGTGTTCTCCATATTTCTTTCTTTTTATGTTTCCCCTTGAAACAAAACAAAGCCAAAGCGCTTCAGAAATCTGGAATCTACTGAACAGATATGTGGTATTATATAAACAGCAAGCAAAGCTAGATCTGAAAGACCACAGTAGCTGTGGGACATTGTGGATACTACGACCAGCTTACCGACTTCTTGTGCAATGAATAGGCTGGAGGTAAATTGCACTGACATTTCCAAATAATTAATACAGCTCCTTTGCATTTAGAGACTGCTGTCTCTAGTCCAGCACCGGGTGCACGTTCTCGTGCACGATGGGAGGAAGAGGGATGTCAGGGATGACAGTCCTGTAAGAGAAGCCAGGTGACTTGCCCTGTTATTACCTGGCTGTAATAACAGCTACCAACAACTCCTCCTTAATGACACAGGGAGGGCCTCATGCACCCCTGAATGTTGATGACCAGGACACAGTTCTCCTATCAGCACTCCCAGTGTCTATAAAATCCATCACGAGCTGAGCCAGGTGTGAGGACAAGGTCTTCCCCTCCTTGGGCAGCCAGACACACTGTCTCCAGCTCACCTGGGAGCTCGCCAGCGGCTCCGTTGGGATGTACCAGGTGGAGCAGGGAAAGGAGAGCTAGGTGAGATGCTGATTTTCACTGCACGCACAGGTTGGGGTGGAGGGGTAATACAGCTGTTTAACAATTATTTAAGCCTAGGACACAAAGCCTAAAAGACCTAATGAAGCCCTGAACCAGGCTCTGGCGGTGGAACGCACTGCAGTTGGAGTCGCGCTGTGCAAAACAAGACATCTGGAGCCGTGTCAGATCCCTGCATGTGAGGTCCACCCCAAAGCCTGGAAGAGCTGCTGCTGAATTTATTGAGGTTTAGCTCCGTCAGTTTAGCTTGCCTTGCCTTTGCTTTAATGAGAAAAGACTTTAGCTCCCAAGGCCTTAATATAGTTCATTTCTCAACACGTTTGAAAAAGGAGCATTAAAACATTCATAATAAAGGGCAGGGGAGAACAACTGTGGCTTCCAGTAGTGAATACCCCAGACCTTTACAGACTAGACTTCCCCACGGCCGCTACTAAGACTGTTTCCCTCAGGAGCATTTTAGCAGCCTGCCCTTGTTCTGCTCCCTCTGGATGATTTTCTTTAGTTTATATTGGGTATCAGCAATCCCTCCCCCCCAATATTTCTTAGCTGGACCAACGAGCTGATCACACTCGCTCTGGGCTGCCTATGTACTAAAACCAGCAGAAAGCGAGGGCTGTGCTGCTCCTTGCACCTTAGGTTGGCGTAAGTCACCCGCAAAATTGCACTCATTTTCTCTCCCTCTGCCATTTTAAACATTTGCTCAGCCCCAAAGAGTTTTGCTCAGAAGCAGACTTGAGCTTTCCAAGCCATGAGGAACACTGAGGCTCCCGGGGACTGCAGCGCAGCGCAGTGACGCTGTCGCCTCCAGTAAGCGACCTGGGAGATGCAGGACGGGGTTTCTGAGTGTAAATCAAGTCACATACCAGGCACATAGTTATTCCCCCAGTAGCAGAATCACACGATAGCTAAGACTTCACATTAGTGTCTTTTGGTTTAAATTGAAAAGCTCTTATCTCCTGAACTTCAGCAAGGCAGGCAAGAACAGTAGACTGTACCATGGTGAAAAAAACAAATCAAACAAACAGACCCATGTGGAGCGTGCCAGAGCTGACTAGAAATGCCGACAGTGTAAGGACTTCACCGACAACTTTAAAACATCTGGTTTTCCTCCTGCTGAGCAAAGTCAAAACACAGAAAGCCTCTGCAAAAAGAATGGCGATTCTCACCCAGCTCTGTACATGACACTTGTATCTCAGCCACCTTTTACTCCACAGGGCAATTTCCAATGTTCTAAAGCTTACACAGACTTATGTGCAATAACTGGGCACTGCCTTGCAACAAATGCATAGACTTCTAGTTGTTACCTGTGATAGGCAAAATGCTCTTTGAAAACACAAACACACTCCTGAGAATAATGCCACTTTAGTGGTAAGCACCATTCAATCTCCAGGATGTCAGCTGGGTCAAAAGCTTTCCTTTAGTACACATCCCCTTCTCAAAGATGTGTTTATTGATGCAAACACAATTAAAATAAAAGAGAGCCTTCAGGTTAATAGCTGAGGTGGTGCATCTCAATACACTTCTCCCTTTTTTTTCCTCCAGGAGGAAGATCAGCTTTCTTTTGCGGGATGCTTATAGTGCAGCCTGGCTAACAACATCCCGGAGATCTCCTAGGACACACAGACATCCGTGTTCTCCAAAGATCTGCCCTGTCACCTCTACAAAATCACTTATGTCTCTCTCAACCTTTTCCTTCCCTGTTTCAGTAGGAAGCTCTTTCAGCCTTGGTACAATGTATACAAATGCTTGGTGTGGTCACTATACACAGAAAAAAATGGGTCCTGCAAGATATTAATTGAGGAGAACCAGATATGTAACTCATGATTTTAAGCTCCTTCGGGCTCTCTCAACAAGGCATGTCTTGGTCACTCCACTAGAATCGGTGGCTTCACACTGGAAAAAGAGTAATGTAATGTATCATAATTTGGGTCCACCTATCTGCATCAGCTTTGTCTGTGATATGGGTACATCCACGCAACCAGTTTTACCATTCTCCTTCAGTACCTTTATAGAAATGCAATTTCCCACTCTGCAAGAAAAAAGAAACGTTGTCTTTTCTGATCTTCTAGATAATTTAAAGCACTAGTTGTGGTGCAACAATATTTGCTCCAGTGATTTCTAACACAAGCCTGACTAGCAGCTCAGCATGCGTTGCCAGGGCAAGGGGTGTTTGTAATATAGAAAGCTGCTACATTTATCGGCAGTTGACATGCATGCATTATTGTTTTGTTGAATGAGGTCCCAGGTGGGAAACAGTGACTGAGGGTGGCTACGTGAGCCTCCAGCTCAGCAGGAGCTTGTTCTTAGCTTCCTCCCCTGCTCCCATCACAAAGGCAGCCCAAACTCCAGTTCAACGCTTGGCAAAACCAGAATTGGCGCTTTGCGTGACTCGCACTCAATTGGCACATATGTCTGTGAGCAATACAGACCCACCAGCTCCCCTTTCAGCAAAGGCATTTCAAAACGGGCACATGTTCTTGGAAAAAAAATAATCACAAGGATGATTGTCTCTACCTCCATGCTAGTATTGGGGTCAAGGTCATCACACTCTGATTCCTCTGAGCTGTTTGTCTCCTTGTTTGGCAGCATGAAGAGGAAGAAAGAGAACAAGAGATTAGAAGAGAGTTTGGTTAGACAGGGCAGAGCAGCACGGGAGTTGTGAGCAGCATGGAAATGGGTAACAGTACAGAAAATGCTCTAAAAAACCAACCAAAAAACAAACCAACAACAAAACAGGGAAAGCAAAGGCAAAGACATGCTTCTGCCAAAGAAGAGGCAGTGATTCTGCAAGTCGTTCAGGTAGTAAAAACAGTGAGGAAGCAACAGGAGGAAGAACCGTGGCCACCATGCTGGAGCAACCGCTTCCCTCGGGCCCAGTCCTTCCCCACTGATGGCAGGGCTGCCGGGTGGCTGCGTGGTGGGTGCGAGGGGTGCCCAGGTTGCGGTGGCAGGGTTCCTCCCTTTGCACATGCCATGGCTATTTCACTAGGCTTACAAGACGGAAAGGCTCCGCAAAGGAAAACACTTAATCATGGGCTCTCCTGGAGAGGGGTGGATCCAAAGGACATGCTCAAGTGCTTTCCTGAATCAAGGCTGGGCTTTGGTTGTGTCAAAATCACAAATGTTTGCTTGCCTCTGTGGGGAGGGAAAGCCCCGGATTAGTCCTGAGCAGGCCTCACGGTCGGTTTATGGGGATGGATCCTCTGAATTGGAGCACAGTAGTCAGGCACCCAGAGCAGAAGATGGAGCTTAACCCCACAGTTCTCAACCTTTTCCATACTGGGAGATCTCAGAGAGAGAGAGACAGACACACACACACACACACAGACACAGACACACAGGAGACCCTCTCCTGGCAAGACAGAGTTGGCATCTCTGCCCTGTCTGATAATATGGAAGGAAAAAGGTCATTGAGACCATCTCCCCAGACCAAAAATCTTAAGCATCTCAAGGTTGAGAACCCCTTATCTTAAGATGTGAAATATTGGCCTAAAGAAAACTCATCAACTTCAGTAAGGTTCACCCAGTGGCTTTCTCACTGCGGCAGCTGCTCTGACGGAGCTGCAGATTGGGCTAGGTCAGAGGTCAGTAAATCACTATTGTCCCAATTTTAAGAACAGTTATTTAACCATATATATAGTTGTTTTTTTAATGAAGATTACTTACTTGCATGTGGGATGCCAGGAAAAAGAAAACGAAAAACAAAGGCTGCATTTTATCTTGCATGCAAAAATCCTGCTAAAATGGATACTACAAAAAAAGAAAAAAAAAGATAACTAAAGTGGAAAAAACAAAAAAAAAGCAAAAAAAAACCCAAAACAAAAAACAAACCCAAAATCATCGCCCCCTCCCTCTCTCAGGAGAGGATGCTATAGGGGGTAAAAAGGATGGGAAGCAGGAGAGCAGCACACAGCTTTCAGATGGCCTTACTCACTTTAACAGAGACTTTGTTCCCCAGAATATCCTTGGATTTATGTGGCCCATTGGCTTCATTTTTGCCACTGCTCTCCTTTTCCGCCCGCTTTCTCATGCGCAGGGTATGCCATGAACATGACTTCCTGTTGTACCAAAAAACGCAGCAATCAAACGGCAAATCATAGCAGGAAGGAAGGATTTGGAAAGGGAAACCAGCATCCACATTTGCGATTACTGCAATTCCCTAGAAGGTGAAAGCCACCGGCAATATGCCTATCTCAATCTGAGCAATGAGAGTTGAAGTCAAAAACCAAACCAAACACTTCTGCAAAGCAGATGTTGTGCCACACTTGCTGTTTAAATGCATGGAGCAGGAAAAAAATGCCCATGATGGAAGCAGGCGACTAGAACTTGGTCATCTGGTTTCAAGGACTTTGTCTTGCATTGCCACAAATCAAAATTTATTTTATTTTTGCTACCGTTAAAAGGTCAATTTGGTCCTCAGTCTTGTTGGTTAAAAGCAGTGAAAAATATGTAAATACAGGAGGATGGTCTTAATAGATTACTCAGTAGAGCAAATAAAAAAAAAATTAAGAAATTCAAGGTGTTGCTCCCTACGTGTTGCTCAGAACATGAATAGCTCAACAAATAGGAGCTACATCATTAACTTTCCAAGAGATAAGTCATTTCCTAGAATGCTGTGCCTCTCAAGACCAAGAATTTCCCATTTGATTTTGCCAATCCGGTTAGAGAAGACATCAGTCACTCCATGGTTTTGGCTAGCATCACAGCAGGCACAACTTCCAGTACCCTTTTCACCCCTCATTACTGCTCCTATGACCTTACTCTTGGAAAAAAACAGTAACAGACCATGTCACCCTTTGTAAGAGCAATGCCATGTTGACAACAGAAATTGCATATCAAAGCAGACATAAAAAATTAAGAAAAAACCAAAACAGTTCTTAATATGGATTTCATTTGGTTTAAATAGTGGACAGGCTGGGGGGGGATTTGGGAAGGGGTATGTTATCCAAAGCAGAAAGCTCTCAAAACAGCAGTGTGATGAGCTGGGATCCAGGTTCAAAGCATCTGCCCACCTTTAAGTCATGCAAATTTGATTTGCATGTTTAAGCCCAATGTTTGGCACATGTCATGTCTACAGTACCTTGATACATTTTACAAAGCAAGTTGCATGTAATCCAACGATCACCTGCGATGCCAATAAAACGCAGTATGTTAGCAAGGTAGGACTCAAAGGACGCCCCACACAGCCGACGCTCCCCCATGAACACTGCGTCTGATTCCTAAGCGTTTTTTGGTTATACTTCAGCACCTGATAGGAGCTGTACAATAGCTCAAATAAAAAAAAAGTAAACTAACATCTCCCAACAGGTGGCTGCCACTGACACAAGACTGAACTGGGTCATATCAACTGTTTTTGCAACCAGGATTAGCGTCTCCACTGCAAACAGCTGGCACGGGCAGTCATGTTTGAGCCCAAGGAGCACCAGAGCACCCTGCACGTCTCAGCCGGACAGTAAGTGCTGTCTGATATTTGGGTGTTTCTGGAAGAGGTCCAAATTAGATGTGCAGAGCAGGGGAAGTTATCCAACACTTCAGGACTGTTACGTTTTTCTTTAAGATATGGTAAGAGTCAAGGACGTGGCTGATGGACTCCCTGACGTATCGGTGAATAATACATGGTGCCAACACTACTGGATCGACCACATATTTTGTGTACAGTATTTGTCAACAGAAGAAACAGTTTTTTACTTATACTAATTAGTCAATATGACCTGGCAGACTAGACAGGACTAAAGATAACACCTGCTCCAGGTCGTTTTTTAACCATAGGACTTCTAATTATTTAAGCATCTTTTTGGTTTCAGGGTTGTTTTAGCTGTTTGAGTTTGAAAACGTGATTTAAGACTTTAAATCTCACTGCAGTGAGAAAGAGAGAAGTGCAATGCATGTGTCTTTCAATTTTGTTATGCCTTCCTGGCCACAATTCATACGACTACATCATTTGACACAGAATTTGACTGTACAGCTGCCATGAAATCAGAGTCTCCACCAGGAGCCTGGTGCCGTGGATGAATGTAAGGGCACATATCGTGGTTAGAGAGGAACCCGGGAATGGCCGTGGCGGATGTGCAAGAGACATGCTAAGCAATTCCTTTGGCTTAAGATGCAATTCATAGTAGCATTCATTACTGACTGACAGGTAAAGTCATCATTTCTCGGAACTGAAACTGCAGCAGAGATAAAATTATTATTTTTAATGAATCTGTTCACAAAATCTTTGCTCGTGTTCAATTCTGCACCTCAAAGTACTCATGTAAGGTAACACAATTTGTAGCATACGTCATGCATTACCATCTAGTCATTTTAGATGTTAAAAGAAATCAACAGGTATTACTGAAAAGAGGGTTGTACCTTCTGTATTTAATACCAAAAAACCACTTTCTTGCATTAGTCATTTCAGACTGACAAATTTCTAAAAATCAGAAAAGAAAAATATATATCCACACATTTGTTAAATAAGCAACAAAATGTTATAAACAACAAAAAAAAACAAAACCAAAAAAGGGTCAAACTAGTTCTTTTACCTCATTAAAACATGCTCATGGTGAAAATTTATTTTACATATTTAAAATAGTACATTTAAAATTAGTTACATTACAGGTACAATGATGAACATTGCGACTATCCATTATATTGCACAACCTGACTTCATCAATATGAGTTTGTTTCTCTTCCTTTTTTTCTTTTAAATAGTGCAAAATACTTTATACAGGAATGTACTTGGATGGGGGTCTTGCAAACCAAAAAATATATTACAAAAGTTACTGCGAACAGAAAAAAAAACCCAACCAAAACAAAATAAAAAAAAGATACAAGCTGTACAAGGAAATTGCCATAGACAACAAAATATCTCCTCCTTGAGAAGCAAACCTCAGTCCAACAGGGGGCCTGGATTTTTTTGTGGTTTTTTTTTTCGCTAGATGCTGTTATAACCAATATATAGATTAGTAACTTAATACAACATAAATATAAGTCCAGTCCACACAGGTCCATGTTGGTGTAAAATGGTGTAACGTAAAACATATCTTTAACCGTCTATGGTTTTATTTCTCTCCAAAATATAAACAAAACCCCACAAAATGAAAATAAGCAAAACCCAAGCTATCCACCATGGCTGCCCGACGCTGCGGATTGACCACTCAGCTTGTTCCAATGGCACTGTAGATAAAAATCAGCAGGGAATCCCT